TGGTAGCCTGGCTCCTTTCTTTTCACCTCAGGGGAGCGTTTACTTTTCTCCTCCCTTGCTGCTGGAGGCCTGTGTCCCTGGAAAACAAAACCCCTCCTCAGATTGTATAGTTCCAGCACAGTTATGGTGACCATATTTTCTCAACCAAAATTAGGGACACATTAGCCATGCCCCCTGACCCCACAAGAAGTCTCACCCATGGAGAGCCTGGCTCCTTTCTTTTCACCTCAGGGGAGCGTTTACTTTTCTCCTCCCTTGCTGCTGGAGGCCTGTGTCCCTGGAAAACAAAACCCCTCCTCAGATTGTATAGTTCCAGCACAGTTATGGTGACCATATTTTCTCAACCAAAATTAGGGACACATTAGCCATGCCCCCTGACCCCACAAGAAGTCTCACCCATGGAGGTAGTACTCCTGGGGTCAAGATGGGCACAGGACCAGAAGTAAAGGGTGTTGTGTGACCCCTCTAAGAACTCCTCCTACCGTCCTCCTACCAATAGGGATGGGTTTGGTCCCCACACGATGCCCCCCATGCAACTATTCTGCAATTGCATTAACCCGATTTGCATTGCATTAAGGTGGGGAGGGCTGAGGGAATTGTTCCTTCTAAGATTTTCCTCCTGTGAGCAGAGTGAATTTTGTCTTGCGCACCAGTATTGAGTTTATGTGCGCTTGTTCAGATGTGTGCCACTGTGGCACCCAAGTTATTAAAAAATCTTATAAACCTCTCCTTTTTCTCTCTGCTGCCATGTCTCCTCCTTTCCCCCTCCCCTCACTCCATCTGCTTCCCTGGTGCCTGCTGTCCCCCACTCCTCACCCTTCTGTGCTTTCCTGACTCTTGCCCTTCTCACTCCCCTCAGCCCTCCTGGGACCTGCCCCTCTCCCCTGCACCAGCCCTTCTCTTCCCCCTGTGCCCACTCCTCCTCTAGCCCCACTCTGGTCATCTGTAGCTACTCCTCCCCATCCCCTCTCCTAACACCTCCCACTACCTTGCCTCTCTCTTCTGCTCTCTGGTGCCTGTCCCTCCCCTCCACATGTCTGCCTTTCTGCTTCACCCCTTCAATCCCCTGGCACCTTCTCTTACCCTTGCACCTTCCTGGGGCCTCCTCCTTCCCTGACTGCCCCTGCCTACCTTGCCCTTTTTCTCCCTGGTGCCCTCCCCCTCACCATCCTTTGCCCTAGTTCTCCTCACGGACTTCTGTGCCCTTACACGACTTGCTCCATCCCCTGCCTTCCTCATGCCCACCCCTCCTTTCAACCCCTATTCCCCCAGCACCCACTCCTCCCCTCTCCTCTTCCTCCCTCTTGCCCCCATTGTCCCTCCCCTCTCCTCTTCCAGCATTACCCTCTCCCCCATCCTCTCCTACCCCCACTGACCCCTTCCTTCCTACCCTTTTCCTCATTGTCTCCTCTTGGCCCCCTGGCATTTGTCTCTCCTCCACTGTGTACCTTGCTGTCTTTCCCTTTCTTCTTCTGCCCTGCCCCCCTCTCCCTTAGCACAAGCCCCTTTCTCTCCTCACTCTCCTTCCCCTTAGTTCTCCCCCTACCTCTTCCTTCACCTTCTGCCTTCCAGTTGCGGGGCTGGAGCTTGCAGTCTGACCACAGAAGCCCCTGCAGCTCCAGCCCTAGCTGGGACTGCAAGCCAAGACTAGAGTGGAGGCCACCTGTAGTGCTATTTCTAGTGCCTCAGTCTGGGTCCTCGTGGGCAGCCCCGGCTCCAGCTGGAGTCAAGCAGCAGCTGCACAAGGCACATCCTGGTGAGGCTGCCCTGGCTGGAAAGCACCTTATGTGGCTGCCACTTGATTCCAGCTGGAGCTGGGGCTGCCCATGGGAACCCAGGCAGTGGTACTAAGAATAGCTCATCAGGGGCCTCCGCTCCAATCCCAACACCTGCAGAGCTGAACGTGCCCCACCCCGCAGTGCCCTAGCCAGGGCTCCGTGTGGCTCCTGCCAGGGCTTCAAGACGGCCCGGAGGAGAAGGAACTGGGCCACCGGACTAGGACCTCATGTTGGAGAGGCAGTCCCTCAGGGGAGAGGAAGGCGAGGGAATAAGGGAGGGGCCGCATGCCACCAGAAGCTTGCTCGGCTGCCCTATGCACCCTGCTGGGGAGGAGAAGAGGAGGCTGCTGCGCTGCTCCGGTGTCCCATCAAGTAGTGCAAGCCTGCACAACTTGGAAAGCTGCGAGGGCCATATTACTCCAAAGAATATGGGGCCACAAGGGTAGGTTTGGGGGAAGGGGTGATACTTTATTAAGAATTTTTCAAATAAATCAAACAATTTTTTAATTATTTTACTTTTTATTTATGAATCATGGAAAAATGAAAAACATCTGTTCCGATGAAAGAAAACATTTCTACTTTTCCTAATTACCTTGCAAACTTAATGAGAGATATTACATCTCTTTCTGGCAACAAGCTTGTCGTATTTGGGAGTCATATTTGAAGTGGATATTTTCATAATATTACTACTAATATTAAAAGCTCCTGCGGTGTCTGTTCCTCTCCTCCCCCTACACTCCACCTGCCCTCTGGAGCTGCAAGGTCCTCTGGGGGATGGGGGTCAGTCAGACCCGATCGGGGGTGCCTCTGCCCAGCTCTCCGTCTCACTGCCGGTCCAGGTCCCTCTTCCCCTGGGGCCATCCTTCGGGACCTCCCAGGAGCACTCCGCCTGAGCCTCGGTGTTTACAGCCAGTCTGGCGGCTCCCTCCCCAGAGGGATGCCCCGCTAGGCTTTTGAACTGCCCTCTTGCCAGCTGGTCCATTGTGGGGTTCCTCTCTCCCCGTTCGGCCAGAGACCTGGCTATCTCCGGCTTCTGGCGTCCTCTGCCAGCCTCCCGAAGCCACACTCTGCCCCCCTTCTCGGCTGGGCAGCTCTGAGCCCAGCTGCTCCCGCCCGGGCAGGGGTGACCTGTGCTGGCATCGCGGAGGCGCAGCGCCCCCCTCTGTCCCTGCTTGCAGCGTAATTGCTAAATGGGGTGTCCCCCCAGCCCCCGCCGGCACCAGCCCTCCTGGGACCTGCCCCTCTCCCCTGCACCGTGTGGCACTGCTGGGCGAGGGGTCGGGCTCACCTCGTCACAACTGTTCACGGGCTGCACAGTGAGCGCCTGCGGGCCGCATGTTGTGCAGGCCTGAAGTAGTGAAATATCCAGTGGGACTTTCCAGGACATTTCTCTACTTAATGAGGCATTGAGACAGAGCATTTAAATTTGGGACAGTCCTGGAAAAAATGGGACATGTGGTCAGCATAAGCACAGTGAGCGAATATTACTATATGCTGGTAGTGTCTGTTGTTTTATCATGAAT